ATATTTAAATTGTTTCTTTCTGGCTACTTGTAATATTTTTTCCTTGATCTGGTAGTTCTGAAATTTGGCTATTAATGTTCCTTCAGGTTTTTATTTTGGGATCTCTTTCCTGAGGTGATCCAGAGGATTCTTTCAATACCTATTTTGCCCTCTGGTTCCAGAATATTAGAGCAATTTTCCTTGACAATTTCTTGAAAGATGCTGTCCAGGTACTCCCTTTGGTTATAGCTTTCAGGTAATCCAATGATTCTGATGTTGTCTCTCCTGGATCTATTTCCCAGGTTAGTTGTTTTTTTTCCCATAAGGTATTTCATATTTTCTTCTTTTTTTTTCATTCTTTTGAATTTGTTTTATTGATTCTTGATGTCTTATAGAGTCATTAGCTTCCATTTGCCCAATTCTAACTTTATAAGAATTGTTCTTCTCAGCTGTTGTACCTCCTTTTCCATTTGGCCAATTCTACTTTTTAAGCAATTGTTTTCTTTTTCCAAGCTGTTGACTTTTTTTTTCATAATTCGCTTGCATCACTCTCATTTATTTCCCCATTTTTTCTTCTCCCTCTCTTATTTGATTTTTAAACTCCTTTTTGAGCTCCACAAGTCCTTTCTGGGCTTGAGACCACTTCTTGTTTTTCTCTGGGGTTTTGCCCACAAGTGTTTTCACATTGTTCTCTTTTGAGTTTGTCCTGATCTTCCCTGTCACTATAATAACTGTCTGTGGTCAGATTATTTTGTTATTGTTGTTGTTGTTGTTTTTTCTCATCTTTTTCCTTTTTTTAAATTTGAGCTCTCCTCCTGGGGTAGAAGGGGCACTGTCCTAGGCTTCTTGTGCCTAGGGCTATATTCCCTGGCTGTTTACCTGGTGCTGCACTGATGTTGCCCTGAGACTCAAGAAGGACCCCTGTATTTGGTGCTGTGCTGAAGGGGTGGGGTAGGGGGTGGTTGGTGCTGCTAGAGGCTATAGGGGTCTGGCAGCTCACCTGGTCCTGAGCTGGGTTTCTAGTGCTGGTGTCTGTCATATATTGAGCACAGTGGGTTGTTCCTGCATTGATTTCTACCTGTTTTACTGAGCTACACTGAAGTACATGGTGTTCTGACTGCTGTTTGCTGCCTGGTTGCCTGGCTATGCTGGAATATGCATGGGGTCCTGGAGAACTGGTGTCTGCCCATTTGCTTAGGCACCTGTAGGGCTGGTGTCTACTTGCTTGTCTGGGGCTATGCTGAAGCATGTGGTAGTCTCACTAATGAAGGTTGTCCATTCCCTTGGATAAGCTGAGGCATGTCAGGGGTCCTGTGTTGGTGTTTTCCTGCTATATTGCACTGGGACACAGGATCTCCTACTGGGGCTGCTGGATTGCTGGAATGCTTCATGCCCTAGACTGTACACCCCCTTTACCTGAGTAAGACAGACCTTTCCTGCCAACCTTCCAAGTTTCTTGGACTAAAAGACTATTTTACCTGATCTTTTTGCTCTTTCTGCTGTTCCAGGATTTGTTTCAGGGTGCTATTTTATGGTTCTTTGGAGACAAATATGAAAGAGTTACAGTGATGCCTGCTTACTCTGCCTTCTTTGCTCCCAGAAGTCTACAATTACTTCTAATAAATAATGAAGTTAACTGACATGAATTTTATCTCTCTCCTAACTGTCCTTTTCAGATGGTGCTAAGAGGAAGTTAATTGGGAAAGGGCATGGAGAGGATGAAAACAAGAAAAAAGGTAAATGGAATTGATAATCACCAAGTTGATAAAAATTTGACTGGATAATTGTGAATTGACTATTAATCCACGATGTCAGTATTGCTGAACATATTATGGCTTCAAATGGTCTTTCTTAGTAAATGATTTTTTTTTTTTTTTAAACTAATATATGGAAAAATCAGCTACTTCAATGACTGTAATTATAGTAAAAAATTCCCTTTTGGAAGAATAGAGTACCAATTGTTCCTATCATACCAACACTTTAGTTCTACTCCTCCTGAGATCAATGTGTTTCTACCCACTATCTCTATGTCAGGATGGAAGAAAAAAATAGTCAATAACTGCCTTTGCCTGCTGTTTGTGAGAAAAGAAAATCTGTTAAGTTTGGGTAGGAAGGATAAGGAATATGAAGAACTTAGGGGGAATTTGGAGGAAAAAAATAAGGTATTAAAAGATGAGTTGGAGACCTAGGGCAACTCTGACCTTTCTATATTTATGTACCCTTTCAAGTATGGTTGTGTGCAATCTATACTTTTGGGAAGATTTTTATTCCCTTTGCTACAAGGAACCAGGTTGGAAATTATTTTTATTTTAGTCGGGTTCCTTTCCATTTTTTTACAATAAAAATATTTTGAGTATCATGCAGAGTTATGATGATGTATCCTTTGTTCCTGGACTAGATGACTTTTGAGGTCCCTTTCAAAACTTGATTATTTTAATATTATTTTTATCTTTACACATTCATCCTATCAAATGCCACTATCTTCCTGAAGCATAATTAACTAAGTTATTAAAATGGTCTCTTGATGCATATTCCACTAAAGTCATATCATTGCATGGACATCATCTTATGTCCATGAAAGTTATGCCAGAGAGCACACACCACAACAGACTCTACTAAGCAAGAATAGCTTTGAATTTTAGGTTAGTGATAAGTGTGTTTGCCTATGACACCAGAACAGAAAGAGCTAAATTAGAAGAGACAACTGAACATACCAGTAAAGAGCTGATTTTAAGGACAAAGGACTTGGGTTTAAAAATCCTGGTTCTGATGCACTTGGCAATGTGACATTGGGGAAGTCAAAGAAACCTCGGGGCCCTAGGACACTCTCAAAGAATATAACTGGCAAAATTATTACCATTAAGAACAATAATAATTTAATATTAATAATACTGACCTTCCATAGAAGGAGTTTACTTATGGAATATCAATGAAATCTTAGGTTTAAATTCCTATACCTTAATCATCTGAATTTCAACTACCAGATGGTGATTTTTTTTAACTACAGGAACCCACTTACACTAAAGGAATAATTTATTATTTATGATAATAATAATATAGTATCAATTTTATGAAATAAAGCAATCATTTCTATAACAGTACAACAAAAAAGATGATTGCACATGAAACAGCAAATCCACTATGTACAGCATGCTATCCTAAAGGAATACAGTGTTTGTGATCTGTATCAAAAAGAAGTATGAATGAATTCAAGTCACTAAACTCTCTGGGTCTTAGTTTCCTCATCCCTAAAATGCTGGATTGGACTAGATAATCTTTATGGTCCCTTCCAACTCTAGATTGTTATGTCCATGAAGAAACTTTTTTTTTGGGGGGGTAAGGGGCAAAGCAATCAGGATTAAGCGACTTGTCCAGGGTCACACAGCTAGTAAGTATCAAGTGTCTGAGGCCAGATTTGAACTCAGGTCCTTCTGTCTCCCAAGCCAGTGTTTATTCTATCCACTACACCACCTAGCTGCTCCAAAGAAACTTCTTAATAGACATAATAAATTCTATGGTCCCGCAGAAGCCTCAGATAGCCTTAAATATGAATGTTCAACATGGCAGAGTATGATGACAGAAGGTAGGGATTACTGCTATTCCTTTTATGTCTTTGGCCTTCCTCCTTGTCAAACTTGTCTGGACTCAAACCTCATTTCTCACTAAATGTTTTTGCCCCCTATATGGAAATATAATAATTTGCTTAGCATTTCCAAACTAATCACATTCCCTAACTGCTTCCCGGTTCTTTCTGGGAAACTTGCCAGTGTAACCGTGGTATGAATAAGCAGATAGTGATATACATTGTTTGAGACATTTGTATCCTCATTATCCTCTTGCTGCACAAGTCACAAAGGATGGAAATCAAGACATCAGCGGCTTAGATCAGCCTTAAAGATAGAGCAATAAATGCTTTAGGCCCTCAAAAATGCATGTGAGGATTTTAAATAGCCTTTCCTAAATTTATTTGATTGCTATAACAATGCCTCTGAAGTCATTAAGAATCACAACCCAAAAGGACTACCCATGGCATCAAGAGTGTATATAACATTTCTTTTTTCCCCTCAGAGTTTGTTTTTGTATGTGATATGACTTTTCATTTACATAAGTATATATAGATTAGACAGATAGATAGATAGATAGATAGATAGATAGATAGATAGATAGATAGTGTGTGTGTATGTGTGTGTGTGAGATTTCAAGGAGACCAGTAAGCTCAGCTCTCAAACTTTCATATGTATCCTGATGCATTTAGGATTAAGTACTATGTTTTAAGTCTCTCTTAAACATGGTAACAGCAACAGCAAAAAAAAAAAAAAGGTATGATTCTAACATAAAATCTGATAAGTAATGAAGGCTTTAGTGCAAAAGAATTTGCCAGATCATTTCCTGAAAACAAGTTTTGACAAATGTGTAAGTTGAAATAATGCAAAGACACTGGATGCCTGTGAAATAGAAGGCACTAGTGAGTTGAGGAGAAGACACAGTCATAGATTGTGATAGTGGGATGGAGACTGCACTTGTTACTCTCTAAGGTTTCTTCCAAATCTAAGATTCCATGAATCTATGAAGCACTGATCAGGTAGGCAAAGCATAGAAAAGCATTATCATACATGAAATTACTTTTACAGTAGCAGTTTTTATATAATTCAAGAGAAATAGTCTAGAGGCAACTTTAAGGCAAATCTTATCATCACTGAGGTATATTTTTCTCAGAGCAAGGGCATAGCTCACTGAAATGCAAATAAATATAATAGCCATTTACCATATTTTAGACACTAGCAGCATAAAAACTTGGTATCTTATCAGTTTTTATTTTGAATTTTCTATAATAACATTAAGACATTACTTATCCCATTTTAACCAGGAAACAAACTACTTGGATTTTGCTATAGCCTACGGATTTGGCAAAAGATAATTGAGTTTAAAACTGTAAGAAAATGCTTTGAGTACATTTAAGTTAAAGTCCAAAGTCAGAATATCTGCACCATGATTATCAGAGCCAGGAGTGAAAATTTTACCTTTGTTGCAGCATCAAAGCAGACAAATCCCATACTAAAGTCAATAGTTAGTCCCATTAGATGACTTTCCAGTACACAGGCATAGGTCTTGCACTAGAAAGATTAAAAAAAAAAGTTACTTTATATGAGAGATCTAAAGAGATTGTTTTGCCTCATTACACCAAACTGCTGTAAGAATTGTCACATATTGGCAGAATCATTTTGAGTACTTTTTTGACAAACATTATGTCTCATGGTTTCATATTATAGTTTCTCTTAAACACTAATGAGAATTTTGCTTAAAATTCTACCATGTTGGGGAACAGTTTTTGGATCTAAATTTCTCTGATTCACCAAAACATACCCTGAGGCAAAGAAATATAACAGAGTTCATGACTTGGCAAAAGGTCTATAATTTGAACCATGTGTCACCCTGACATAAAGAGATAGCCTTCCATAGCTCTTCAATAGAAAATTTTAAATTTGTTGCTAAAAGGGCAGTAATCTACGGACAACAAAGTAGCGACCATTTCTTAGCATGACCAATTCATTCTCAAAAACATTTCAAGTGAACATGGAGGCATTTTAAATCACCCACTACAGACTGTTGATGTCCAACCTCTATGTTGAGCTGTTTTCTTACTATACCTTCTGAATAATTGAGAAAAGATTTGCAAAATGTAATATTTTTAGCCAATAAGTACGTTGCTATTGCTATTGCCATCAACTTGAAATCTAGAAAATTAAAGTACATAAAAATAAATGTAGTTGATTAAATTTGACAGGAGGAAAGGTTTTTCTTATAGAATGGTAACTCCCATAGATAGTTCCTGTTGATGTAAAGATTTTACACCACTGAAATGATACTATGCCCTTACATGCACCAACCTTATAGAGCTGGCTCTCAGTCTAGACTCATCATTTCCCTTTTCAAATTTGTTCAAATCTAATTCAGCAAAAAATTGACCTATGTATATTGACAACCTGAGTCTTAAGCACAATTTACCAAACTCCTCTAGTCTATTTTTTTCTTTCTACTCTTTTTCAGTCCTATTTGCAGCTCATCTATTTCATCCTCTAGCATTTCCAGTCTAAAAACCATAATGCCTTTTTTAATTAATCAGGCAAGAAGAGAGAATATATACACAGAGGGCACCATGCTCTATTTATACAACATGATGTATGACTGTATCTGTAGACCAGTTGCTTTATTTGCATTTAAATATGACCTATAGAGTAGCCTTGACAATGATAAATACACATTAATATTGTGTGTAGGAAAATAGAAAAAAAAATTAAACCACCAAATCTATTGTAATTCATGCTACAGATTTGCATTACCAATTGTGACTTCATAAGAAGTGAATATATTAGATACTGTAAGTGTCACTACATTGTTCAGTAGTTTCAGTCCTATCCGACTGTTCGTGACCCCATTTGGGGTTTTCTTAGCAAAGATACTAGAGTGGTTTGCTTTTTCCAGCTCATTTTTTAGATGAGAAAACTAAGGCAAAGAAGTTAAGTCACTTGCTCAAAGTCACAGAGCTCACAAGTGCCTGAGATTGGATTTGAACCCTGGTCTTCCTTACACCAGACCCTGTGTGCTCTATCCACTGAGCCATCTAGCTGCCCCAACCACATGAATCAAACTCTGTATTACTTAAATGGCTCAATACACAGAGGCGACATTAAAACTTTTATTACTCATATGATCCTTGCTTCCTAAAAAGAAATATCTGCAGTACTGCATTTATGAATAACTTCCTCTTCATAAATATTAACTCATTTACAAAGGGCAAAAGGTGAACATAAAGTCACTCATTCATTAAATAATAGCAATATTAGATAGACTAAGGGAGTAGCAATGAGGAAGTTAAGGGATGGGGAAAGGGACTCAAGCTGTTATTTCCCTAATATTGAGTATTCCTAGGTGTGGACTTTCTCATTTACAGACAGATTTGCACCTTCTCTACAACTTATAGCTGGAGAGATTTACCTAGAAGAGGTCTAAGAGGTTCAGTCACTAGCCCAGGGCCATACAGCCAGTTATGTGTCAGAGGTATTGTTTAAAGGCATGTTCTCCTGGCTTTGAGGCTGGTTCTCCATTCATTATGTTACGCTATCCATCATGATGCAGTGAAATAAGTGCTAAATCTGACATGAGATCAGATTCCAGCCATGCTGCTTGCAATCTGTGTAATCATGGGGAAATCTCTCAGGTTTAGTTTCCTCCATCTGTAAAATGAGACCCTGTGATGTTATGACTAAAATCCACTTTTGGAAATGCCAATTAAGACACTTGCAGCTTACTGACAGACCATAAACTCCCTGAAAACAAGGCCTGCTTTTTTTTTTTTTGTCTCAGTGTTCCCAGCACCTATCACAGTGTTTGGCTCATAGTATGCACTTAAATACTTTTTACTTTTTCAGTGATACAGAATTGTGTGTTTACTTCTGAATTTTTAAAAATTCATGGACTTATGATTTCATTGATTTCCTTTTGAGGAAGTCTCTCAACCAGTACCTTCTCTGCAACATACAAAATATTGGAAAGTTGTCTATGGGTATTTAAAGGTAGGTGACATATAGTCATTATGTGTCAAACCTGCACCAATGCTTTTCTGACTTAGCAGTCAATTCTATACACACTACACTATGCTGTTTCTTACTTTAAATGCAACTGGGGGAATGGTGGATAAAATGCCAGCCTGAAGTCAGAAAGACATCTCCCTGAATTCAAAGCTGACCTCTGACACTTATTGTCTGACCCTGGGCAAGTCACTTAACCCTGTTTACCTCAGTTCCTCATCTACAAAATGAGCTGGAGAAGGAAATGGCAAACCACTCCAGTATCTTTGCCAAGAAAACCTTAAATGGGGTCAAAAGAGTAGGACATGACTGCAATACACTCATAGCTACTTCTGAAGGATATAACGTAATCTTTACCATCCTAATTCTTTATTCAAATTATATTCAAAATAATTTTCATAATTAGATATTATTTCAAAATGCTAGGGAATTATAGTATGTAAAAATTAATATTTCCTGTTTGAAGCCCACCAAATATAGACACCAAGATAAATAAAATATCAAGTGATTGCAAAATTGAACTGGGTAAATGAGATATTGATTTTAAAAGAGAAACCACGTTTCTATTGCTTGAATCCTATTCTGAGAGAGCTATTACACCTATTTGGACAATTCTAGCAGATATCCCATAAATATAATCTTGTCAATAATATTACTTTTAAATTCTTTACTTATATTGTTCATAAATTCTCCCAAACTTCAACAATCAAATTATTCCAAGGGAGGAAATATTTTTTGCAAGTAGATTAAAATTAGTGTTTTGAGTACAAAGGAAATAATTATTTGTCTACTTCACATAGAATTATTTTAACTTCCTTTTTTTTAGGGAAAAAACAAAGCCCTCTATTTTTTATAAGGATAGTTACCAAATTCCTACAAAACTCAGCTCAGTCTTTTCTATATTAGGTCTTACCCAATCGCCCCTGGATCCACTGTCTTCCTCTAAAATTATTTTAGATATTCTTTTAATATACTTATATTTACAGGTTTTCTTATCTGATAGAATTTAAATATCTTGAGGGCAAAGACTTTCAGCTTTATCTTCCTGTACCTATTAGTTAGACTCTTTCTAAAGTTGTTTACCATCTACTTTCAATTCATCTAATACGTTCATACACACACACACACACACATACACACACACACACACTTTCTTACTCATTAGAACGTGGTGATCACATTGATAGCAGGAACTATATTTGTTTTTTAACTATGTCCCTAGTGTTTACTAGTACATAGTTGGCATTTAATAAATGCTTCTTGGCTGATTTTTACTATCAGCATCTAGCAAAGTATCTGACACTCAATATGTACTTAATACTTGCTTATTGACTGATTAATAATAGATGGTATTATGGGATGTTCTTAGGATATATAATAGATCATGATTGAAAAAATATTTTTAAAAAATTGTGAGCAGGTAGAGTTCAGAAAAAAATAGCAAAAGTGATAAAATAGATGAGGATTAGTAGAGAGATGATAATCACTTTATATTGCCATATAAAGGAAAATACAAAATAAAAATCTGTTCAACAAGCAAAGGTATTCATTTATGTTCTTTACTACCTTACTTTCCAATACAACTTACTTTTTCCATAATGTTTTTATTTCTATACAAATTTAATGGTGCTGAATCTTTTATGGATAAGGGAAAAAACTAAAAAAGATAACTGTCAGTAGGTAGGCATATTCAAATTCTTGTTACTTTAAAAGACTCCTTCTCCAAATACGTAATGAAGTGAATCACCTTTGATTACAGATTTCTCATAAAAAAACGCACATGAAACCTGGTAAATTTTAAGTAAAAAAAAATTTCATTGCTCATTTCCAGTGCACTCCAAGCACATTGTGGCTCAAATTGGCTTTATGAATAATTTGCCACCATAGGTACCCTCTTGAAACAGTCCAAAGCTTTATGCTGTTGCTCAGACCTCAGGCTTAGAGAATATACACCACAGATCCAAGAAAATGTTTTAAATTATGGAAGAATACTGTAAGGTTATTCTATCTCATTTCTAAGGTTTGGAAGAATTGGAGACCTTCAAAATATTAGCTTCCATTTGGGAAAACATTTTAAAAAATGACCCTGTAGACTTTACATGGCCACTGATCTTCCTAAATGAAGGTAGTCAAAAAAGTTAATTAAAGAAACATAAAGGAGAAATAAATACATTCCCCTATCACCTTGTGTTCAATTAAATATTATTAACTAATGTTTTAAAAGTAGTCTTGAGATTTCATCCTAGATCCTAGGAATAAAGTATTATTTTAAAAGATAGAAGTTTCCTCTACCTCAATAATTCAGAATCAATTAAAAATATATTTGTATAGAAAAATACCAAGCATTACAGTATGTTTAGACTGTATTAGGTTCTGAACAGTGCGTAACAGAATATTGGAACTGAAATACATGAAGAAATGAGTAGAGTGAATATAGATAGCCTGAGAAGCAACTAAAACACTAAGTCTTATGATATTTCACCCAACTCTATTATAACACAGTTGTTACACAATAGTTTTATACAAAAGGATGAGTTGGAGAATATTGAATTCAGTTTTATACTTAACCAGGAAGTAGTAATGACATCTGTTCTAGGAGTTTATGACTCAAATAAAGACATTGCTAAAGATATTGAAAAATTATTTCTGTGAGGTAAGAAGAAAATCTTCTTTTCATGATACGAGAATTCCAGCATCAGCTAAGCATTCCAGAACACCCATTCATGGTGACTGCTATTATAATCAATGTGTGTGTGTGTGTGTGTGTGTTTGTTTAAATTAAAACAATGTTTTTGGAAACAAATCTTGCATCAAATGCTCACTTAACACATTGCCTTGAACATGATAATGTTTGATCTCTCTCTCTTCCTCTCTCTCTCTCTCTCTCTCTCTCTCTCTCTCTCTCTCTCTCTCTCTCTCCTCTCTCTCTCTCCTCTCTCTCTCTCTCTCTCTCTCTCTCTCTTCTCTCTCTCTTTCTCTCTCTCTCTCTCTCTCTCTCTCTCTCTCTCTCTCTCTCTCTCTCTCTCTCTCTCTCTCTCCTCCCAGCTACCCCAAGGAGGCAAAAAACAAAGACCATAAAGAAAGGTACAGTGCAAATCCAAACATATTTAGAAAGGTTTTTTTCTTGAAGAAGTAAACATATTATAAATAAAGTTGATGTCCATTAATTGGGGAAAGGTTAAACCAATTGTGGTACACTGATGTCATAGAAAATTTTTAAGATTTAAGAAATGATGGGTATGAAGAATTCATGAACTGGTGCAAAGTTAACTAAGTAGAACCAGAAAATAATATACATGGTCATAGACAAAATATCAATGAAAATTTAGAATCAATATAAAATAACTGATTTACTACCACATTTCAGAGTCATATAATTAGACTACAGAAATATGGGGAAATTTAATGTTTAAATCTGTGTGATTAACACATATAGATATGAATTTAGTTTTTAATACCAGTTACATTATCCTTCACAGATTTCATTATAGAATGTGTAACTTGTTATGGGGTTTGTACTTTCTTAGAAGGATGCAGCTAAGTAGGAAACACAGATGTGCAATGTTTATTGTTACACTTATTAAAACTACATCTTTTCAACAGAAATCTCTCATCTCTTGATATACAGGAATATACTTGAAAAATATACAGAAGTAAATATTGACTAAATGGCATATTAATATCTCTCTAGGGAAGTGTCAATTGAAAATTGCAATTGTCCAGAAACAAAAAAAATTTATTAGACAGTATAATACTTCCGGAGAGACAGCATGGTATAATGGATAGAACACTGACCTCAGAGTCAGGAATTGAAATTTGCCTCTAATGCACATTGGCTGTGTGACCTTGTGTCCCCATGTAACTTTCTAAGAATATAAGTTTTGAAGCAGTTATTGATCTGAATTTTTATGGACATTATTTTCCTCCTCTGGGGTTACCTACCATAATGAAATCAATAGTCAAGTTCAAAAAACACTTGCAAAATATTACTCTTTTTACATTTTAAATTCTAAAGTTCACCATTTCCTGGCCCTACAAAATATTCAAGATTAGTTAACAATAAAATGGCCAGTTTCTCAGTAGTCATGCATTTAATCTGTATTATCTCACTTTGCAAATATTGATTCATTATTTTGTAATTATTTTAAAAGTATTTCATATATTCATGTTTTATTTCCTTACCTAGGCTGTTTGCCATCTTCATAGCAAAAACATTGTCTTAGCAGGTTTTTTTAAGCATGAATTAATGACATCTGGTAGAACATTTTGTATAGAGCAAATTTTCAATAAATTCTGTTTAGCTAAATTATTGGAAGTACATAAACATGTATTATACTGCCTCCAAGGTAGCAAGCAAAAATCTCCATCAGTTGTGAATATTCTGGTATTTTTCCCCAGCTGCACAAATAATGAAGGGATAATGGTTGAATCATAAAATTGTTTTATCTTCTTCAATTTATATTCAATTTGTTTTAATGATATTTTAATATAATAATCAAATATTGCTTCTTATGAACTCAACTCTATAGAATACGATATACTGGAAAACATAAGGTAAAATTCAAATTCTTGAATTAACAATTTTTTCATGATGAAAATCATAACACTCAATTGAGTCTTACCTGTATCCTTTCAACTTCTAAAAAAGTTGCTGTTTGGAAAGCTTTCTCCCATTGGGCTAGGTCACACTCTAACTCTACTGAAAAATAGAGGTCCTCTCCAGTTTCTGATTGGACACCAAAGCAGTGTTTCCGACGGTCCAGCAGATCACTGTCCTGATGAAAACCTGAAGTTATATAATCTGGCATACATCAATTCATATTTCTTATATGACCATGCCTTAAATCTTGTTCTAGTAATCCATTAAAAGTAGGTAATCCAAAGAAAGAAATATTGAATGATACCATAAAGAAGGATTTTTAAAACATGTAAGGCAGTCAAAAGTATTATTCATTGCTCTAAAATGTATTAACTGTGTGACTTTAAGTGAGTTATTTTATCCTCAGTTTTCTCATAGACAAAACTAGGATGTAATTTCTACCCTGAATATCTCATAGGATTATTGGAAGTATCAAATGAGATTTTGTATTTCAAAGAGTTTTGTTTGTTTGTTTTTAACCATATCTGTGATCAAATCATTTTATCTCAGTGCTATAGGCAATTATATTTGCTGTATAGGGGGTTTCTTCACTAAGAAGATACTTATAACAATGAAATCACTAGATCTAGTCTTTATTCCTATAAAATTTGTTTATACACATGGCATTATATATGAAAAGCAGTGTGGAATTATAGATAGAGAGTTAGCCTTAGAGTCATGAAGACATGGGTTCAATTTTCATCTCTGTTGCTAGTCAAGTTCCTAATCAGAATTCTAATCAACTTACTAAAATGACAATTTATAGAGCAGGTACTAGGGTGTCAGAGGGATTTCCCTCTTTGTGAGTTCCTTATACCAATGAAATCACAGGTCTGGTAAAAAAAATCAAATAGTAACATCATCATTATTGTCATCATTATTATTACTTATCAAAATAGTAACAAATATCACATATAAAATAAAATTTTCTATCAACCCTGATATAAGAAAGCAATTCTTCTGTATCATAAAAGAAAATCAACCATATATATATATATATATATATATATATATATATATATATATATATGTATGTATATATAAATAATTTTACTAGTACTATCCAGTTATTTCTGCAATACTGCAATTGTAATAGTATAAGGTCTTTGACAGCAAACTTTGTACTTTGGTACTACATATACCTTTTTTTTTAAAGTTATAGGTTGGTATTTGTATATAGCACTCAAAAAACACAATAAAAATATTTTAATTAGAATGTAAATTCCTTTCAATGAAGGATTGAATTATGCTTTGTGTCTCAAGCACAATGATTAGACACATAGTAGGCACTTAATAAATGCTTTTCAATTGATTCCTTAAGTCCACACTATTGAAATAGAGACCTTGTTCACTTTGTATGAAGAATATGAATATTTAACTACCTTGTATTTAATCATATTCTAATGTGTATTATAGTTTTTCATATACATGGTTTATTTTTTCTCCTCCCCTGCAATGCATGCTACTTGAGAGTAGGCATTGTGCCATTTTTTGTTTTTGTTTTTCTAGCATACTGCTGAGCAGAGAATTTTGGGCACCTAAATGTTTAATTAAATTTTCTATGAAAAAAGTTTAAGGTTAAACTTTAGATAACCTAGACTGTAGGTAACAAAGATTTAATCAAATAATTAAATAAAGTGTGTCATTCTATCATTATAGACGAGATAGAAAGATAAGGGTTCTATGACATTCTAGCTAGATGAATTTATAACTAAACTGATTGAAACAGTGAGCCCAAAAAGTAATCATCAATGGTTCTACAAAACTTTCAGGGAGGTAAATATCTTACGGCGTGTCCCTGACAGCTTCCCTTGTTCCTGGTATAGTGAGAATGTTGCTTGCTTTGGCATAACTGACTCCAATTTGTATTAGGTCACTATTTTGTAATGAAATGTTTTATTATTTGCTTTTTATAGCTTGTTTCTCAACATTAAAATAAGCATATGTGCGTTATAGGTTGGTAAACAACATATGTGTTTTTATTAACTGACAAACATATGGGATCCCCAAATAGGGCAGACTACCTATGGGAAATTTTGGTAAACAACCTCATCATTAGCTCGTCATCAGGTCAACTGCATTTCTAAAAATCCATTCTATTTCTCCCTGTTGCACTACTCAACTGAAGTAATGGCAAATTACATTTATAGGAAATTCACAAGTTTATAAGATCTTTTCCACAGGCATAGATGCCCTTTTCTTTGGGATTCTAACCCACAACCCAATGTCCTTGAATTCATGGTTACCTTACTTTAGGCCTTTAGTGGGAAGCTAGGTAGGCAAGGTTTCTTGAGTTACTCTCTGAATGTAAGTTGTACACTTTGTCAGTATGTATGTATGTGTATATATATATATATATTATATATAATATATATATATATATAATATAATATATATACATATATATACATATATATACATATATATATATATACATATATATATATATATATATATATATATTCCATATATATTCCTTCCCCCCTACTAGTTATCTAGTATATCATTTAGTAATTTGCTCCTTTGATGAATTATTTATTAGTAACTTAGTGGTATATTAATGTATTTATTTTGAACTATATTCAAGTGTTAGACTTTTCATCTGCAAATATTTGGCCCAACATTAAAAATGTGTTAAGAGAAGGATCTAGTATTTTGTTAATCATGTAGAAACTTTCTCCAACAATGCATATCCCAACCCATCCATGACTTAGAAAATAAATCTTAAGAAGTTTCCTGAGCTACATAGAAGTTAAATGGCTTGTCCAGGATCACAAAGCTAGTAATAGTGGCAGTATTTGAATCTAGGTCTCCAAGAGTCCAACTTAAGGTCTCTGTTTTCTTAGTCATAATGTCCTCCCCAATAGTCAATAGTGGTCTCAAAATTCTTTATTTTCACAAAAATATGAGTAAAATAAGTAACTCGATAATTAATTATACTCTAAATTGTGCAACCACCCTGAGACATGTAATTTGCTCATTTATAAATGATATACATGTATTAATAACTACATATGTAAATAACTTATGCAAAATGGATTATTTTGAAAAAGAATGACATGATGATGAAATTATATTTGACCCTAGAGTTAACTGGAAGCCATTGGAGTCATTAGAGGGGTTGGGAGGAAGTGACGTAGTGAAAACTGCATTACATAAAGTCACTTTGGCAGCTTTGTGTGTAATGGATTGGAGTAGGGAGAGAATTGAGGCTAGTAAAGTAATCTGGATGTAATTGCAATAGTCCAGGGTGAAAGGTGATAAAGGTTTGACCTAGGGTGGTGGTGTATATGACAGAAGAGGACAGATGCAAAAGATGTTGCAGATGCAGAAATCATAAGATTTGGCAAATGAGTGGATACATGTATTGAGGGAGAGTAAGGAGTCTTAAGATGATTTGTAGATTGGGAACTTCATGGACTGGAAGACTGGTATTGTTCTCAGCAATAAAGAAAAGTTGTAATTCAGGTGCCTTTTTGGAGAAATATTATATAAGAGATCCATGATGAGGATCACAACCTATCCTGTGAGATTCACTTTGAATCACTTCCCATAAAAGATAGGTGGGACTCTTACTCTCTGATCTGTGCCCTGAAGAGGAGACAAAGGTAATTTTAAAAAAGCTACCTGTATAGCACTTGCCTCTGTGAGTGCCAGGTAGCTGTTAAGTTATACCTGTTGCAAAGGTCTAAGTCAACATTGGCTAAGAGAGGGACTGTGGCTGAATGTGTGAAACTTGAAATCATCTCGTAAGATGACAATTCAACTCATCAGAAATAATAAAGTCATCAAGTAAGAAAATATATATGGAGAAGAAAACAGGGCCCAGACCAGAGCTTTGGGGTAAACTCATATTTAGTGAGTGTGCAAAGATTATGATCTAGTAATGAATATAAAGGAAGAGTGGTCAGACAAGTGTAAGCACAACTGAAAGAGAAGAGTGTTAACAAATTCCTGAAAGCAAAGACTCTCCAATAGAAGCATGTGGTCTACAGAGTCAAAGGTTACAGAGGTAAAGATAAATAAGAAATGAGAAGAGGGCATTAAGCCTTAGATTTGGTCATTAAGAGACAGATCTTTGGTAACTTTGCATAAAACAGTCTTAAGTAACGTGATTAGAACACCAGAGTACAGAGGGTCTAGAACCTAGTGAGAGAGAGGGAATGGAGATATCAAGAATAGATAGCTTTTTCAAGGAATTTGACTTAGAGAGAAAAGATATGACAGTAACTAAAGGAGAGCTGTAGGATCTGTTAAGGTTTTTTTTTTTTAAATTGGTAGAAGAGAGGCAGTCCTCTTAATAATAGCAGAGATAAAATATAGGAAAAGGATGGCAATAGGGATAATCTACCAGACAAAGTGCAGGGGTAGGGGGCTACATATATGGTAGCAAGGCATACTAAATGTGACTGTTTCAAAACTACATGGAAATGGCACTTGTCAATTTGTTTTACTATAATGTATTATCGCAAAATCACAGAATTTTGGAATTGGAAGGAACATCAGAAGACATCCTTTTCTCACAGTTTTTGACAAAGAAAGCTAATGAATTTTTATCTCTCCTAACATCTGTTAAACTATGAAAATGGATAATGATGCTTAAATATCTCTCATTTATTATATATGAACATAAAGGAATTTTTCTTCTAGATGCTTAGATTGATCATAGTTAAAATAATCATTTCCATTTATTTCTGCATGACTTTTTTCCTTTTTTTTCATTTCTTTGGTTAATCTCCAAATTTAGTGTCAAGGTATACACAAAGTCTAGTGTAGATATAGATCTGCTATAACACATTACAAATGTAGAATTGCACAGGAGAACTGAATAAACAAAACCATTTGAGAGAATCATGACTGCAAAAGGAAGTGGGTCAGTCATGTAGTAAGAGCAAGAGATTATCACTGTATATTTCCCCTGAATCTAGTCAATGTTAGAGATCCAGAGAAGGGCCTCCACAAGGTTGGTCAGATCCTCTGTGGAAGATTTCTGGGAGGAGACAAACAAGAATCAGGCAGAATGAAAAGGCCAAGATAGTTTCTATCTGTACCATTGCAGGGAGTACTCACATTGATGAAATTGCAGCCCATCGAAGTATCAAAGTATTATCCCTTCATGTGGATTGTTAATGATGA